TTCGAATGCAATAAACCGTTGTTCAATTGGTGCATTTGTTACTTTTTAACGGAAGTACGAAAAAAATGAAAAAGACTTTTGCATCAACCTAATAGTTAGTTATTGGAATAGTTAGTTATTAGAGAAGTTAGCTATTAAAGTAGTTAGTTATTAGAGAAGTTACTTATTAAAGTAGTTAGCTATTAAAGTAGTTAGTTATTAGAGTAGTTACTTATTAGAGTGGTTAGTTATTAGAGTAGTTAGTTATTAGAGTAGTTAGCTATTGAAGTAGTTAGTTATTAGAGTAGTTAGTTATTAAAGTAGCTAGTTATTAGAGAAGTTAGTTATTAGAGAAGTTACTTATTAAAGTAGTTAGCTATTAAAGTAGTTAGTTATTAGAGTAGTTACTTATTAAAGTAGTTACTTATTAAAGTAGTTCGTTATTAGAGTAAAAGCTTTTCACTTAAACTAGTTATTTTTCAAATTAAGCCACTCTTACAGTCATTTCACTTTCAACTTCAACTCTTCAACTCCCAATAAATCTTTTGCGCGTTTCAATATTCCCTAGAAAACCCGACGCACATCAATTTTTTTCCATAGGAAAAAAAACGACGATACAATCGAATACAGTACTCTAGACAGGAGAAAGAATGTTTGAGAAAAGGAAAAGGTAAAGTTTTTGTTGAGTAAAGTTGCAACGAGTTTGCGAAAAAGATAAGCCGGAGAAAATCGCGCGATTGAGAGCGATTTTTAAGCTTGAAAAAGAAAAAGAGAAAAAATCTGATGGTAAACGGGATGAGAGTATCGCGTTTTCTTAGAAAATCACACAAAGGTGCTCTTTTAGTTTTGTGTTGCGTTGGGGAATATGAAATGACGTCGATTTTCAAAGAAACTTTTATAAAATCGAGTATGCTTTATCAAATGACAGGTAGTATCATTGGAAAACTCACTTATTTCTCTAAAAAATCATATATAAAATAGAACTTAAAAAGATCGTTTTTTTTTAGAGAAAATGTCTGAGAAGATCATTGCAAAATTTGGGTACTTTTGGCTGTTTTTTATATAAAATTGTTTAAGTGAAAGAAACGAGTGAAATGATAAGCTGGACTTTGATTCGTTGTGTTTAGAAATCTATAAAAATCTTAAACCACAAAACAAAAGCTTTTCGAAATCTCTTAATAGCCATTTTATAGAGCAATAATAAGTTCTTTTTGATTAGATAAACAATAAATTATATGAAGCTTTTATGCGTTTCAGGAAGAGAAGTCTTTTAAAAAGTCACTTTTAAAAGTCAATCACTTCATACTCTTTTACCTAATAGCTAATTAAATGCTTAAATGTTTTGGGGGAGTTTTTTATTTAAACTAGTTTAAAGTTTAAAATTGGATTAGAAATTGGATTAGATTTCGAGGATCGTTTAAAACTGGAAATAAATTTTGAGGCTAACACCAGCTGAAAGTATAAAATGTTTAACAATAAACTGTTTCAAATTTGACTTTAAAAATCAGAAACAAATTCAAATAATTGATTGACTCAAATGAAAATAAAAATGCCATTCGATTGACCACTTCATTGGGTATAAATTCCGAAATTACAAAACAAGATTTATGGGCGAAGGGACGAGGTGAAGATCGTGAGATGAAAAGAAGAGAATATAGGATAGGAGAAAAGGAGAGAAGTGTGCTGCTTCTCCTTTCCTTTCCTTTCTCACTTCTCCTTTCCATCCATCGATGACAAATGGCGTTGTCGTTCTGTTGTCATTCAGATAGAGGACCCAACCCCACCACTTGACACCCCTCTTTTCTTCTCTTAACTCCTCTTTCATTCACAAAACTTTATTTCAATTGGTACGTTGAATTGAATCTAATATCAATTGTAAAATTGATCCAGAATATCTAAAAGAATTCAAATCAAATGAAACAGTTATTTTCAAAACATAACTAGAGATTACTTTTGAATTATTTGAATTATTCAGTTTGCTTAAAGCTTAAAGCGTGCTTAGAGTGCTTAAAGCAAAGATTTTTTAGGAAAATTTAAAAAGATAGTATTGAACTCAAAGTCCAAACATGTCAATTAAGACATTAAGTCATAATTGACATGCTCCAGAAAAGCAGGACACGACGTCCACGTTGGTGAACCCAATAAAATTAATCGCGTCTCATCAAAGTCCAAACAGTCCAAACATTAAAACAATCAATTGAACAATATAATAATCTTTAATTAAAGAAAAAAATCAGAAGTAAATGATTGAGAGAAGCAAATGATTACTGTAAGTAGCAAGAGTTTGGATCAAAGAGAACAGTCCTTGTCTTTAGTTCATTGAGGAAAAAGAGATGAGGGATATGGCCTCGAACGGGGATTCTCTTCCAAGATCGTGTCTCCAAAATCCAAAAGAAAAGCAAGACACGACGTCCACGTTGGTGAACCCAATAAAATTAATCGCGTCTCATCAATTGCGCGGTGCGCGTTCAAAGTTGTGTCTGCGGGGTTGATTGTAGCATATGTTGCGTACACTCTTCTCTTTCTTTTCCACCAGCCCCCTCCCCCTCATTTTTCAAAAACCATTCGATTCGATTCTCTCTTGTCAACCATTTAGGCCTGGGTTTTATAATTGAGCAGCTAGAATATCGCAATTTATTTTTAGATCTAAAATGAAAAACTTGACAAGACTATGGCTTAAGTATATAGTTACTTTTTAGAATCATTTAGATCATTTAGATCAAATAGATCATTAATCAGTTGAATCATTTTTAGATTAACTAGATCAACTAGATCATTTAGATTAACTAGATCAACTAGATCATTTAGATTAACTAGATCAACTAGATCATTTAGATTAACTAGATCAACTAGATCATTTAGATTAACTAGATCATTTAGAATCATTGATCATTTAAATCATTTAGATCATTTAGAATCATTTATCATTTGAATCATTGTTTAGAATTGTATTATGAAATTTAGCCCAGTTCTATTTCATTTAGATCAATGCTTTTTGTGATTCAAACTTAAACTGGTCAAGCAAAATATTCGATTAAGCAATGTCAGCAAAAGCAATGTGCTTGAAAAATCTAGTCACCCATTTTTTTCAACATTGTGTCATTAATGATTGGCATTTGGATGAAAGGAGTCGTTTTTCAATTTGGAACTCCATATGTCCAATGAGATTTAGACAAGAAAAAAAGGTGAAGGTTGACGGGAAAGCATTCGGTTGACGGGAAAGCATTCGGTTGAAGGGAAAGCAACATGTGCACCATTTTTCACTCATGGCACATTTTCAAGTGAATTGCTCTTCTAATAACGATTCACTAAGGGGGAAAAACGCGACTCCGCAACTTGAATCCAATTTGTTATGGTATGAAATTTGGAGAACAATATGGCTTATATCATCTTATAGAAAGTCTGAATTTGCTGAATTTGTGCTGAATTTGAAAGCTAATCTTGCCTACACAGAATGTATATTCAGCTAAAGCATTTTATAGTGTCCTAAAGGTTATATATATATGCTTTATTCAGTTGAATAGCGACAAAACAAAATCACAATAATTACCCGGGATACCACTCAAAACACACCCAAAAGATAAATAGATACCTCAAGAAAGAATCACAGAGCAGTCAAATCAATTGCCGAAATTGCGGCTTTAAATCTAGCCAAGGTGGAAATATCACGAACATGAGGGGGTAAAATGTTCCAGAATTTAATAACTCGATTAAAAAAGAAACTGTGGGGGCTTTTAGAGGAAACGGAAGGTTGGCGTATGAGAAAAGGCTCCGTAGAGAGCTTTCTGGAGGCGCCCCGTAGAGAGCCGAATTCAAAGAGACCAGAAAAAAGAGGGTCGGGATGAATGCCTTTAACAATTTTAAAGCATTCCACTAAATCGATGATAAGGCGAAACAATTTTTAAAACAGAGAAACAAGAGAAACCATTTTTAAAGCTAATCTTGCCTACACAGAATGTATATTCAGCTAAAGCATTTTATAGTGTCCTCAAGGTTCAAAAGTTTTTCTTAATTGTCTTCTCTCATCCAACCACAAGCACAATTAAAAAGTAGTTGTTAAAAAGTCATTTTCATGAGATAATCTGGAAGAATAAGAAGAATCTGTTTATTCAGCTCACTCCGACAACTGAGTGCAATCAGAAAGATATGAGCTTTGAAAACAAATTCAAATCTTCATCTACTTTCTTTACTCGCTTCGAGATACAAAATTGAACGAACAAACACAACAATGATGTGTATAAAAACTCACTTTTCAGAACCTTTTCGATAAATAAAGTATTGCTAGATAAAGTAATAAAGTAATAAAGTAATATATTAACAGAAGAAAGAGCCTTGTGGCTATTTGAGAGTGCTAGCAGGGCCGCTCTCTTGTTCTCCAAAAATCTACATAACAATGCACATTGACATTGACGATTCATCTCTTCAACTATTCAATAATAAAGAAAATTGCTTAAAATTTCTAAAACTGTGGAAAACAAAACGGAATTTTTCTTCTTGTCAATCTGTGCGAATTTAGATTTTCCTTTTGAATGCAATCATGAACAAAAGTCTTTTAACGTTGGCTTTTAGAAGTTTGTTCTTTGTATATCTTGATCCAAATCCGACCAATTTGCAAACGGTTAAAGTTAAATTAAAATTAAAAGATTTAAAGAGCTTATTATCTCTAATTTTAACATTACAAAAAGATGGATTTGACAATTTATCAGGTGAACTTTTTAATAAAATCAAAAATTGATGGACAAAAGTCTTTTAACCAAGGACCAAGATATACGAAAAACAAACTTCACAAAACCAACATTAAAAGACTTTTGTCCATGACTGTAAAAGAAACTAATATTACTTGTTACTTGTTTATGTTAAAAATTCAAGAATCATCACTTCCACCACCATTTAGAAAACATGTTGATTACCACAAAGGCATACAGTTGGTCAACGATAGACTTCCGAATGTAAATCAAAAAACTATCTTTTTACAGATTGGTCTTCTTTTTGTCGTTGGTGAAGGGTCGGACCACATTGGAATGATTGTAAGAAAATTTAAATACAGTATACCCCAACTCCTTATACAGGGTGCGGCAAAAGTTCTGACACTTTTTCTGTAAGCAGCATTTTTTTGGCTTCAAAAACCCGTGAATTTCAAAAAACTAACGCCGGATTCTAAAAATTTAGGTAGTTTCACCCCAATATAGCCATTTTCATAAAAAGATTTCAACTCTCAATAACTTTTGACGAGAATTTTTTATATCCCGGGCTGGTCGCTGAAGATTTTTGCGAAAGTTGACTTAAACTTTGCAGAATGAAATTTTTTCCAAAAACTGCTGTTACCATTTGATAGAGCTGTCTTTTTTCTTGAAAACAAGGACCAAGATATTTTGTAAGAATGATGATTGTAAGAAAATTTAAATACAGTATACCCCAACTCCTTATAGTATACCAAGGAAAGGTATTCAGCTAAGAAGCTTGAATACTTTCTGGCGAATTCTACTTAGCCAATTAAGTACAAACTTTTCACTCCGGTATTCTGTAGTGAAACAGAGCCTGGACTTTGCAGTAATCAGGGATGTGGGCCAAGAGAGCCGGTCCGCAAACCTGGTCCAGGGATTTTTTGTGGGTCAAGCCCTGATTCTGTCCGGGCCTTGTGACAATCCTGGCAGTAATTTATTCAGAAACACTTCAGGAAGCCAATAAACTCCAACTTCAACCCCATTTTCTGGTAGTGGGAGAGCCGACCGAGAATCGTTTTGCCTCAATTCAAAAAGAAGCCTTCAAGGTTAAAAAAAATTAAGCGTTCTTTGTGCTGGGCCCTGTAAACATGTTCTGCACTTTCTGTTGCACTAAGCTACTTTACTTCCTCTTTTCAGTTCGTCATCAAAACCACCGGCAAAGCGGGTCATTCTGGCTATCCACGTCACAATTGGAAGATTGTTTTACAGGTTTTACAAAACTAAGTAAAAGTGCATTCTTGAAAGTTTTAGATGTCTTTGCTAAAGAAATCGAACAGAAAGTCACTGTAAAGGCGTCAACTTCAACGCAACCAATTTTGGAACATGCTCCCGATGCTCCATCGTTTTGTTATCTTGCCGACTTGTTACTATTTTTCAATTGTTTTGCAAATGTTGTTACAGGTTATAAAAGATCATGATATGTTCATTTTTCGGTAAATGTTTTACTAAAACTATCAATATCTTGATTGGACCAAAAGTCGAAAATCGCCAGTTTTTGTCTTCACCAAAATATTAAAAAGCTGCAGATAGCGTTTTCAGTTGTTCACAAAAAGGGCGCAGGAAAATTATGTTTAAAGTAGACTTCGGAAAACAAAACTTAACCAAAACCAAAACTACCAAAACCAAAACCATAACAAAACCAAAACCAAAACAAACCAAAACCAAAACCAAAACCAAAACTAACCAAAACTCGCCAATATCTCGCGACTGGGAGGAGCTAGCGAAAAATCTGTTTGCAGATTTGAAATCAGCATCCAAAAATCTATCCCATATGCTATTTTTTGTTTCGAAATTTCGAGGTCGTGTTTTGGTCCTTTTTTCGGCCGCGAGATTTTGTGGAGTGAGAAAAAGTGAAAGGCTAATTTGCATTTTACATTAAAATTTGCATTTTACAATTTTAAATTTGCATTTTACATTAAAATTTGCATTTTGCAATTTTAAATTTACATTTTACAATTTCAAATTTACATGTTAATTTATATGCAAATTGAGTTTTGGTTTGTTTTGGTTTGTTTTGGTTTGTTTTGGTTTTGGTTTGTTTTGGTGTTTTGGTTTTGGTTTTGGTTTTGGTTTTGGTCTGTTTTGGTTTTGGTTTTGTTTGCCGAAGTCTAGTTTAAAGCCTTTTCAAAAAAAATTTTCATTAGTTCGGCCGACAAACGGCTCAACGTCAAAATTTATGCGGAAAAACTATAATTGGCATCCCCAAATTTGTTTGATTGTAAAATTTGAATTTAAATCTCATGGAGACAGCGGCCAAATGTTAGCAAATCATTTTCGATTGCAAGCAAACCAGGTTCTGTTTCTTATTACTTGTCCTAAAATTTTAGGGATCTGCTTTGTCAGATTCTGCCATATTCGGTCAGATGTTTTAATTTTGATTTAGCATCTGGTGTGGCCTCTCCTGATGATGATTCTCATCTACGCTTTGCCGATTTTACTGAGTTAGTCAGCATTGGATTCGGTTCCATTCAATTTCGTGTTTTAGTCCTTTTTGCGGTTGGATGTGGTAGAAAGAAAACGCCTAGAGGATCGATACGCCGTCCAAAAGCGTCGAAGGCTAGAACTGCCGTGGGAAATGAGAAGCTGAGCCCAGCTTCATTGGTTCCGCTTCCACAGGTTTTTTTATTTCGAATCTTCCAAGTCACATTTTACAGTCAACGCCAAAGAAGGCAGAAAGCAAGCACGATGTGAAGCATGAGGCAAATTTTCTTATTTTCTATTACCTAAGATATTTTTAGAAAGGTTTCTTCTTCGCGGAAAAGAGCTGCAAAAGTGGGAAAAAGCTTCGGAGACTAAAGAGACAAGCGAGGAGGAAATCCTTCCAAAACCAATCCATCGAACTGAAAAAGCGGTAGACTTGGCAAAGCGAAAGGCCGTTAAACTGTTTGAATTTTTTAGGAAGCAATCGTGAGGAAAAGCGACTATCCAACTTTCAACGATATCTTGAGTGACCGTGACTGGGAGAGCAAAAGCAAGCAGGTGCTGTTAATTTCTCGGATTAGGATCGGGGTGATTTATTGCTTTTTGTTTTAGAGCGCTTCCAGAAAATCCGAAATGAAGCTCGACCGAGATCTCAAGAAGGAAAAGAAGGAAAACCTTGCGGACTAGTGTATTGAGCAGCAATAAATTTTCGAAATATGCCGTCCATTCACTAAAATAATGAAAAGTCCAGTGAAAAATAACCGGCCTATCAAATAAAGTTTTTTTAATCTTATCGATTCCGCTCTTGTTAATCTTATTGATTCCACAATTCAAGTTTATTGAGAATCTCTCGCATTATGAGAACCCACCCACCAACCAAAAAAGCATTGGTCACCATAAAATAAAAGATTTGCCACGCCCTGTATATTAGAAAAAAAACTCATTCCTAACATACAGGGCGTAGCAAAATGCAAAAACCATTCTCGATTTTTTTGCGATTTTTTACAATAATAAAAGAACAATAGGGAAATTAACTTGTTTAACTCTGCGTAATGGCCTTGGATGAGGCGGTGGAATTGGATTTGCGCCTGATGCATAAAAGCTTTGCGGATTGCCCGGCATCGTTATGTCCTTTGCTGGGACCAAGAATGCCACCTCGGGAACCTAGTACGCCTCCTAAAATTCCACCAAAGGTGAGCCCGCTTTCACCTTTCACCTGAGATCTTTCGACAAGCAGCTACCATCCACCCTTACTGTAAGAAATTTGAGCTTGGCTTTGAGTTTACATATTTCTAGACTTTCGCTTGTCATCCTAAATCCAAGAAGAATTGGTGGTGAATTTTACCTTTTTTGGAGTGTATAGTTTCAAAGTCTAGGAGTCGATTTGTAATTTGCTGCAATTTGATGGGCGGATTCAAGATGAAAAATTGAGGCAATACAAAGAGCATAATGATGGCACAATGGTCGGTTTTATTTTCCTACTTTGGCAGTTCTTTTTTTCTAGTGTGCAAAGCTGCTTGCTATTAATCGTAAACCAGAACGCACTGATGAGGAAGAAAGAATGACAAGTGAAATGCTGTTTAAATTGAATCTTTATTTTTACAGACTCAAACTCCTAAATATCGTGATTTATCTTGGCCTGCCGACTCGAGGTACCCTCACGTAAAAGACACTGGGCTTTTTACTGGCCAACTTTCGACCCAGTTGATGTTGTCATCGATTACGAAGAAAGATAAAAACAATGAAAAGTTAGTCTTTATAAAAGTTTATTTATTTTCTCGTCCAAATTCTCTAACCTACCTAGTTATTTTAGAGTTTATTCCCATCAAGGAGATGACACCAAATTGAGTCTGGATCGATTCCCTTGGGAAGTCTGCAAGTTGGGTACATGATACTTGATGATAATATTGAAGATTGTACGTAAAGTTATCCATTAAATTTTTTGCAAAAGATTAGCGAAAAAGTGTATTGTGAAGTGAAATGCTTTAACAACTGGTTTACCGTACGTACAATCCCAACTTTTTGGTTCGACTTTCACTATCATGCTGAGAATATTCCAACGGCTGACTACTTTTTTTGTTCTATTCGTTGCAACAGCGGTCGTTGATGAATCAAACAAGGTGCAGTCAAGAGCAAATGTCACGTAAACCATTTTAGATAATACATTCAATTTAGTGGCACATGGCTTTATGGGGCGATTCGCGATTCACCACTCAAAAACCGAGCCAGTTCTGAACGAGGAAGAAATGATACCGATTCAATACATTAAACAATATGGACCGATGAACACGTTCTGATGGATCGAATCTGATGGAGTCAACCATATGGTTATTTTTGATTTATTTGTAGTTACATTCAAATTTTAGCTGTTCTCCAGGCCTGCCTTGGTTATTCAAAGTACTCGTACAGTTGGCGCTCATTGAAGGGAACGAAATTTCACGAAGCGCACGGGAAAAAGTATCACTTTGGAAGCTTTAAGGTAAATTTTGAACTTTGAATTCCTGCTTCAACTAAATTTTGAGCAAGGGGACGTCTTGGGATGCTTACTTCATCTACCACACGATAACATTCATCCTTCAAGTGAAACCTTCATTTTATAGCTTCTTGACAGCATTTATTCTAGGAAGCTCATCCGATTACCTCCCGGTCACGCACAAAGATGTTGAAACTGCCGGAGTAGATTGTTCTATCCAGAGCTTAACTGCGATTGACCTTTTTGATCTGTCCTTAAAATTGTTCAAATCTAATATTGCAATTAATTACAGTATCCCTCTAGGATTAGCATCAAAAAAAGCTGCAAAAATGATTCAATTTTCGTATTCTGAACGAGCAAAGTGGTAAGACCAAAATTCACAAAAAGTTACAAGTGAAAAAGCCAAAAAAGCAAACTCACTCGTCCGTCGAACTAGAGCGAGTGACAAAGAGAAAGAAGAGTCGCCAAGCCGAGATCAGGATCGGGGCAGAACACTCCGTCACCTCCACCAACGAAAGCTGCAAAAAGGAGGAAAAACCTCAGCTTCCGAGAAACATAAGGTAGAAGATTTTTATGTTTACATAAGGTAGAAGATTTTTATGTTTACCTATACCTGTGTTAGTTGCTTTAAAACAAGTTTTATTATTGTTTTTAGGAACCAAATAAAGCCGAGACTGGAGTGATAGAAAGCAGAAAGGATTCAAAAGATGACACCGTTCCTGGGGCTGAGCAGCAAGTATGGTTTTAATCTTGTTCTTTATCTAGCAATGGTTATTGTATAGTATATTTCGATTTAGGTCCATTGTGAAAGCAGAAAGGATTCAACGGGCTCTCGACATGGGCGTAGTGATAAACTTCGCAACGAGTATCGTCACTTATCAAAATGGTGTCCAGAGGGAATGACGTACGATGCTTTCAAAGCCAATCAAGGAGCTCAACCGCGACGAAATCGGTATGCTTTAGATGTATAAGTTAGTTCTTAGATAAACCTAGTGATAAACTTTATTTTTAGATATCAAGATGTACCATGTGGAGATGCGCGTCGAGTGGTGATCAAGTTCCCGGGAGCTCCATGCGAATACATCCATGCTAACTTTGTGAAGACACCACAGGCCGAGAATCGTTTCATCTGCACCCAGGGACCTCTCGAAAACACGGTCGTTCTCGCTTAGCTTAGCTTAGCTTAGCTAAAGCTTAGCACAAAATTTACTTACCGAGAACGTTTTCCTTCAAAAGTGCATATCCTCGAGATTTCCGATGATCGCGTCGATTGCACGGAATTTGCAGCAATCTTCGCCAAGTACGCACTGATGTTCTTCCGCTAAAATTATTTTTTCACAATATAAATAGTCAACAAACTCTGTTATGCAGTGGAAATCGCAGAGACTCTTTTTGGTCCGTCGTTTTGCGTCAACTCGAGTCGTGTGGTTGAGTTCGTCTTTCCGTGGTGTGAGTCCGGCTGGTGGGCTTGTCCGATTTTCTATGAGAGCGGTAACAACTACGACCTTGACGATCCAAATTGGAAAGCAACTAAAACAAAATTAAATATGGCCAAACCGCCAACCTAAACACTAACCAAAAATCGACGACCGTGTTTTCGAGAGGTCCCTGGGTGCAGATGAAACGATTCTCGGCCTGTGGTGTCTTCACAAAGTTAGCATGGATGTATTCGCATGGAGCTCCCGGGAACTTGATCACCACTCGACGCGCATCTCCACATGGTACATCTTGATATCTAAAAATAAAGTTTATCACTAGGTTTATCTAAGAACTAACTTATACATCTAAAGCATACCGATTTCGTCGCGGTTGAGCTCCTTGATTGGCTTTGAAAGCATCGTACGTCATTCCCTCTGGACACCATTTTGATAAGTGACGATACTCGTTGCGAAGTTTATCACTACGCCCATGTCGAGAGCCCGTTGAATCCTTTCTGCTTTCACAATGGACCTAAATCGAAATATACTATACAATAACCATTGCTAGATAAAGAACAAGATTAAAAACCATACTTGCTGCTCAGCCCCAGGAACGGTGTCATCTTTTGAATCCTTTCTGCTTTCTATCACTCCAGTCTCGGCTTTATTTGGTTCCTAAAAACAATAATAAAACTTGTTTTAAAGCAACTAACACAGGTATAGGTAAACATAAAAATCTTCTACCTTATGTAAACATAAAAATCTTCTACCTTATGTAAACATAAAAATCTTCTACCTTATGTTTCTCGGAAGCTGAGGTTTTTCCTCCTTTTGCAGCTTTCGTTGGTGGAGGTGACGGAGTGTTCTGCCCCGATCCTGATCTCGGCTTGGCGACTCTTCTTTCTCTTTGTCACTCGCTCTAGTTCCGACGGACGAGTGAGTTTGCTTTTTGGCTTTTTCACTTGTAACTTTTGTGAATTTTGGTCTTACCACTTTGCTCGTTCAGAATACGAAAATTGAATCATTTTTGCAGCTTTTTTTGATGCTAATCCTAGAGGGATACTGTAATTAATTGCAATATTAGATTTGAACAATTTTAAGGACAGATCAAAAGGTCAATCGCAGTTAAGCTCTGGATAGAACAATCTACTCCGGCAGTTTCAACATCTTTGTGCGTGACCGGGAGGTAATCGGATGAGCTTCCTAGAATAAATGCTGTCAAGAAGCTATAAAATGAAGGTTTCACTTGAAGGATGAATGTTATCGTGTGGTAGATGAAGTAAGCATCCCAAGACGTCCCCTTGCTCAAAATTTAGTTGAAGCAGGAATTCAAAAGTTCAAAATTTACCTTAAAGCTTCCAAAGTGATACTTTTTCCCGTGCGCTTCGTGAAATTTCGTTCCCTTCAATGAGCGCCAACTGTACGAGTACTTTGAATAACCAAGGCAGGCCTGGAGAACAGCTAAAATTTGAATGTAACTACAAATAAATCAAAAATAACCATATGGTTGACTCCATCAGATTCGATCCATCAGAACGTGTTCATCGGTCCATATTGTTTAATGTATTGAATCGGTATCATTTCTTCCTCGTTCAGAACTGGCTCGGTTTTGAGTGGTGAATCGCGAATCGCCCCATAAAGCCATGTGCCACTAAATTGAATGTATTATCTAAAATGGTTTACGTGACATTTGCTCTTGACTGCACCTTGTTTGATTCATCAACGACCGCTGTTGCAACGAATAGAACAAAAAAGTAGTCAGCCGTTGGAATATTCTCAGCATGATAGTGAAAGTCGAACCAAAAGTTGGGATTGTACGTACGGTAAACCAGTTGTTAAAGCATTTCACTTCACAATACACTTTTTTCGCTAATCTTTTGCAAAAAATTTAATGGATAACTTTACGTACAATCTTCAATATTATCATCAAGTATCATGTACCCAACTTGCAGACTTCCCAAGGGAATCGATCCAGACTCAATTTGGTGTCATCTCCTTGATGGGAATAAACTCTAAAATAACTAGGTAGGTTAGAGAATTTGGACGAGAAAATAAATAAACTTTTATAAAGACTAACTTTTCATTGTTTTTATCTTTCTTCGTAATCGATGACAACATCAACTGGGTCGAAAGTTGGCCAGTAAAAAAGCCCAGTGTCTTTTACGTGAGGGTACCTCGAGTCGGCAGGCCAAGATAAATCACGATATTTAGGAGTTTGAGTCTGTAAAAATAAAGATTCAATTTAAACAGCATTTCACTTGTCATTCTTTCTTCCTCATCAGTGCGTTCTGGTTTACGATTAATAGCAAGCAGCTTTGCACACTAGAAAAAAGAACTGCCAAAGTAGGAAAATAAAACCGACCATTGTGCCATCATTATGCTCTTTGTATTGCCTCAATTTTTCATCTTGAATCCGCCCATCAAATTGCAGCAAATTACAAATCGACTCCTAGACTTTGAAACTATACACTCCAAAAAAGGTAAAATTCACCACCAATTCTTCTTGATTTAGGATGACAAGCGAAAGTCTAGAAATATGTAAACTCAAAGCCAAGCTCAAATTTCTTACAGTAAGGGTGGATGGTAGCTGCTTGTCGAAAGATCTCAGGTGAAAGGTGAAAGCGGGCTCACCTTTGGTGGAATTTTTAGGAGGCGTACTAGGTTCCCGAGGTGGCATTCTTGGTCCCAGCAAAGGACATAACGATGCCGGGCAATCCGCAAAGCTTTTATGCATCAGGCGCAAATCCAATTCCACCGCCTCATCCAAGGCCATTACGCAGAGTTAAACAAGTTAATTTCCCTATTGTTCTTTTATTATTGTAAAAAATCGCAAAAAAATCGAGAATGGTTTTGCATTTTGCTACGCCCTGTATGTTAGAGAATGAGTTTTTTCCTAATATACAGGGCGTGGCAAATCTTTTATTTTATGGTGACCAATGCTTTTGGTTGGTGGGTGGGTTCTCATAATGCGAGAGATTCTCAATAAACTTGAATTGTGGAATCAATAAGATTAACAAGAGCGGAATCGATAAGATTAAAAACTTTTATTTGATAGGCCGGTTATTTTTCACTGGACTTTTCATTATTTTAGTGAATGGACGGCATATTTCGAAAATTTATGCTGCTCAATACACTAGTCCGCAAGGTTTTCCTTCTTTTCCTTCTTGAGATCTCGGTCGAGCTTCATTTCCGGATTTTCTGGAAGCGCTCTAAAACAAAAAAGCAATAAATCACCCCCGATCCTAATCCGAGAAATTAACAGCACCTGCTTGCTTTTGCTCTCCCAGTCACGGTCACTCAAGATATCGTTGAAAGTTGGATAGTCGCTTTCCCTCACGATTGCTTCCTAAAAATTCAAACAGTTTAACGGCCTTTCGCTTTGCCAAGTCTACCGCTTTTTCAGTTCGATGGATTGGTTTTTGGAAGGATTTCTCCTCCTCGCTTGTCTCTTTAGTCTCCGAAGCTTTTTTCCCACTTTTGCAGCTCTTTTTTCCGCGAAGAAGAAACCTTTCTAAAAATATCTTAGGTAATAGAAAATAAGAAAATTTGCCTCATGCTTCACATCGTGCTTGCTTTCTGCCTTCTTTGGCGTTGACTGTAAAATGTGACTTGGAAGATTCGAAATAAAAAAACCTGTGGAAGCGGAACCAGCTGAAGCTGGGCTCAGCTTCTCATTTCCCACGGCAGTTCTAGCCTGACGCTTTTGGACGGCGTATCGATCCTCTAGGCGTTTTCTTTCTACCTACATCCAACCGCAAAAAGGACTAAAACACGAAATTGAATGGAACCGAATCCAATGCTGACTAACTCAGTAAAATCGGCAAAGCGTAGATGAGAATCATCATCAGGAGAGGCCACACCAGATGCTAAATCAAAAATTAAAGCATCTGACCGAATATGGCGGAATCTGACAAAGCAGATCCCTAAAATTTTGGGACAAGTAATAAGAAACAGAACTTGGTTTGCTTGCAATCGAAAATGATTTGCTAACATTTGGCCGCTAATGCTCCATGAGATTTAAATTTAAATTTTACAATCAAACAAATTTGGGGATGCCAATTATAGTTTTTCCATAAATTTTGACGTTGAGCGTTTGTCGGGCCCGAACTAATGAAAATTTTTTTTGAAAAGGCTTTAAACTAGACTCCGGCAAAAACAAAACCAAAACCAAAACAGACCAAAACTAAAACCAAAACCCAAATCCAAAACACCAAAACAGGCCAAAACCAAACAAACCAAAATAAGTAAAACAAACAAAAACTCAATTTGCATATAAATTAACATGTAAATTTGAAATTGTAAAATGTAAATTTAAAATTGCAAATGCAAATTTTAATGTAAAATGCAAATTTAAAATTGTGAAATGCAAATTTTAATGTAAAATGCAAATTAGCCTTTCACTTTTTCTCACTCCACAAAATCTCGCGGCCGAAAAAAGGACCAAAACACGACCTCGAAATTTCGAAACAAAATAGCATATGGGATGGATTTTTGGATGCTGATTTCAAATCTGCAAACAGATTTTCGCTAGCTCCTCCCAGTCGCGAGATATTGGCAGTTTTGGTTAGTTTTGGTTTTGGCTTTGGTTTTGGTTTGTTTTGGTTTCCTGGTTTTTGTTATGGTTTTGGTTTTGGTAGTTTTGGTTTTGGTTAAGTTTTGTTTTCCGAAGTCTACTTTAAACATAATTTTCCTGCGCCCTTTTGTGAACAACTGAAAACGCTATCTGCAGCTTTAATATTTTGGTGAAGACAAAAAACTGGCGATTTTCGACTTTTTGGTCCAATCAAGATATTGATTAGTTCCTTAGTAAAACATTTTACCGAAAATGAACATATCATGATCTTTTATAACCTGTAACAACATTTGCAAAACAATTGAAAAATAGTAACAAGTCGGCAAGATAACGAAAACGATGGAGCATCGGGAGCATGTTCCAAAATTGGTTGCGTTGAAGTTGACGCCTTTACAGTGACTTTCCCCGTTCGATTTCTTTAGCAAAGACATCTAAAACTTCAAGAATGCACTTTACTTAGTTTTGTAAAACCTGTAAAACAATCTTCCAATTGTGACGTGGATAGCCAGAATGACCAGCTATTTGCCGGTGGTTTTGATGACGAACTGAAAGAGGGAAGTAAAGTAGCTTAGTGCAACAGAAAGTGCAGAACATGGTTACAGGCCCAGCACAAAGAACGCTTGGTTTTTTAACCTTGAAGGCTTCTTTTGAATTGAGGCAAAACGATTCTCGGTCGGCTCTCCCACTACCAGAAAATGGGGTTGAAGTTGGAGTTTATTGGCTTCCTGAAGTGTTTCTGAATAAATTACTGCCAGGATTGTCCAAGGCCCGGACAGAATCAGGGCTTGACCCACAAAAATCCCTGGACCAGGTTTGCGGACCGGCTCTCTTGGCCCACATCCCTGATTACTGCAAGTCCAGGCTCTGTTTCACTACAGAATACCGGAGTGAAAAGTTTGTACTTAATTGGCTAAGTAGAATTCGCCATGAACACTCTTAAAAGCCCTCCTTATCTGAACACTCTCCTTGGTATACTACAGGGTGCAGCAAAGTTTACGACACTTTTGTGAAACGGGCTTTGACTTGGAAAAACGCGATTTTTGAAAAAAGCTCAACACCGGATTATAAAAACCTAGCCAGCTTACCCCTAATATACTTTTTTGGACAAAGGTACTTAAATATAAACAACATTTTGATGAGGATGTTTGCAAAGATCAGCCATTACAGCCAAAAGCTCTTTTTTTTACTGTTGAGGATTTGGGTGCCCCTCCGTAGAATCGCTTGAAAATCTTTCGTTTTGAGATATCAAGTTTTGTGTGGCTTGTTTTCTAGAAAAGACAGACTCTTATCAAATGGTAACTAGCAGTTTTTGGAAAAATTTCATTCTGCAAAGTTTAAGTCAACTTTCGCGAAAAATCTTCATGGCGACCAGCTCGGGATATAAAAATTCTTCGCCGTTATTGAGAGTTGAAATCTTTTATGAAAATATTATATTTAGTGAAATCACTCAAATTTTTAGAACTGGCGTTAGTTTTAGAAACTGCTGGCTTTGGTTTCGTAAAAATGCTAAAGCTACAGAAAAAGCAAGCCAGAACCTTTGGGCTGCACCCTGTATATGGAGTTGGGGTATACTGTATTTAAATTTTCATAATCATTCCATTGTGGTCCGACCTCACCAACACGACAAAGTGCAAACACTAATCTGTAAAAAGATAGTTTTTTTTGACGAGTACTGGAAGTCTGTCGTTGACCAACTGTATGCCTTTGTGGTAATCAAAATATGTTTTCTAAATGGTGGGAAGTGATGAATTTTTTGAATTTTAATACAACAAGAATAAGTAATATTAGCTTTTTTATATAGTCATGAGGCAAAAGTGCCTTTAATGTTGGTTTTGTAGTTTGTTTTTCGTGCTGTATCTTGTGTCCTCTTGGTTAAAAAAGACTTTTTTTTGGTCCATCAATTTTTGATCTATTAAAAGTTCAATTTGATAAATTGTCAAAACTACTCTTTGTAGTCGTTAAAATAGGAGACAACAAGCTCTTTAAATCTTTTAATTTAATTTAACTTAACCGTTTGCAAATTGTCTGATTTGGATCAAGAAATAAAGAACAAAACTTCTAAAAGTCAACGTTAAAAGATGCTTTGTTCATGATTGCATTCAAAAGGAAAATCTAAATTCGCACAGATTGACAAGAAGAAAAATTCTGCTGAGCCACAGTTTTAGTGAAATAAGTATAATTTTTATTATGAATAGTTTATTAAAGAGATGAATCGTCACGTCAATTTGCATTGTTGGTGTGATTTTGAGAACAAGAGAGCGGCCCTGCTAGCAC